CAGCAGGAAATAGAAAAGCCCTAAAGAAAGTTAAAGAAGGAAATCCAGCCATTTAAGCCTTCTATCCTCATGGATTTTGACAGCTGAATTTTATTTTGTCTTAATAGCTTGGTCTTCTCAGAGCCTGCTTCTCACTCCCGTCCCATCTCTGCTCTTTGGGAGCTGCAGCTGTTTCATAGGTGATTAGAAAATGAATGGATCTTCCCTCTAGATTTATTATTATTAATATATGCTGGTTTCACAGAGAGCAGGCCATGAAAACAGTGCGGGTGTTTGTTCCTCTAAAGCATCAGAAATGCTAAAGAAAACCCTCTGGCCTCCTTGGCCGGAGGCTGTGGAGCTGAAGGCCTGACGTGCGCTCCTTCTGTGTGCCTGACACCGCTCTGGGACAGCCCTGGGACTTACTGACCCCCGCCCAGGTGGGGGGAGGTCCCTGGAAAAATCCTCTTTTCTTATGGTTTTGGGGCCGTGGTGGGCAGAAGCAGGGTGTGGGCATCATGGCTGGGCAGAGGTATAGCGGGGGTTTGGGGCAGGAGAGTACAGGGCGGCCTCTGCTGCCACAGGCACTGGGAGGTCTCATGAGGGGCCCATGGAAGAGGGAGTGTTGGACCGGGATGTTGCTGATGCCTGAACAGTTCTTGGTTGGTGTCACCCATGCTGGTGCCTCAGATCCTCTACCTACCCCGCATGCGAAGACATGCTGAACCTGGGCAGGGGTTGTGAGGTGGCTAGTGGAGAAAGTGTGGGGCGGCCGGGGTCCCATGAGCCCAGGGGCTGCTGTGCCCGCAGACACCTCTGTTGCTGGCATTTGCAAACCTAGCTTGTGGAGATGGGCTCTTATTTACACACGGCTGGAAGCAGGAGGTTGCTGCAGCTAATGCTGGGTGAGTTTCCATTTCTTTAATTAAAAAGTTTTTAATGAAGGAGGAGGAAAGAGCAGAGTGAGGCAGGTGATCGCTGGAGATGCCGATCATCCTAGGCACTGTCTCTCCCACCCTGCCTGGCCACAATGGATTCCCAGAGCCAGATCCACTCGTTTGTGGGACCAATGTGGCTGGGGCTGGATGCTGGTCAGGACAACAGGAGTGAGTTAATAGCTTGCTGCTGTTAAGGACACATCCTGCTTCCTTGCTCCGGTGCTCGCTGGCCCGCTCAGAAGCCCATGAATTCACCAACCTGGCTGAAAACCAGCCAGCTGTGCGTCCGGCTTTGCCTTGGCCACCTCTGGCGCTGGCAGCGCTTGGGCCGGGAAGGGCTGAACCAGCCCCCGTTCCAGTCTGGAGCAGGGAAAAGACTGTTTGCACCTCCTGGGCTTTGGGTCTAGACGCTTGGCCCTGTCGTGCCCGGAGGGCCTTCTCTGCTGGAGAGCGTGGCTGGGCAGGAGGGAGGGAACTGAAGGGCTCCAAAATGCCCAGAGGGCCGTCAGTAAAGGTGGCGGTGGGCAGCACTTGCTGTTGTGGGCTTGGAGTGAGCCTGACGGGCTGGAAATCAGAGACTGAGGTGCTAAAAATAGACCCAGGATGTAATCAAAGCAGTGAGGGCCCATGTGCGCTCATGCTTGCTTGACTCCTCCTGTATTTCCCCTTTGAGCTTTAAAGAGCAAACCTCCCCTTCCCAAGGCTGTTTGGGCTGCGCTGGACAGCAAGCGTGCCTTGTATGGTGGAGATTTAGACCTAGAAGCAAAGGGGGACCTTTTTGGGCATGGCGAGATCCGAGGACGGCAGCAGGGAGAGCCGAGGGAGCTGTGCGTGTGCGTGGCTCGTCCAGGCGCTGGGGATCAGCGCCGGGGGGCTGGCCTTGCAGCCCTCGCCTGCCTCCCTCCCCAAAACATATGCCTTGTTCGCCCTCTGCTTGTCTTGCCCCATAAAACTGCACCCAGGAGGTAGGGGTCCCAGGGCGATTCTCAGCGGTAAAGCCCTGGGACTTCGCAACTTGTCCTTCCCCCCCTCCCCCCCCCCAAAAGGGGAAACTGAGGCACAGAGCAGGTTCTTTCCTGTGTTAATCTGGAATATTATCATCCAAGCATGTCTTTTGTTCTTTGAAAGCCTCACTTTTCCTTGAAGGCATCTGAACACAAAAATGAGCTCCCCCTGCAAAGGAGGGGAAGGAAAATTTCAGGAAGGAAAATGTTTTTCTTTTTTCACTAGTTCTTACTGTATGCTGTACTCCTCCCGTGGATGTGTTGAACTATTGCCCTTTACTCATTATAAACTGAGCTGTTTGGTGCTAAACTCCTAGGTGTGCTCCTAACAGATGTAGGACCTTTCTCCTTTCTCGTCTTGCTGGGCTGGAGTTCCCCTCTGTAGCAGCTGTCAGCTTGCCTGGGGCCCTGTACCCCTGCCCCAGCCGCTGGGCTTCCCGGGACACCCCGCTCTCTGGGATAGCTCCTCTGGTGTCTGTCTTTCACCTTGATTCTCTCTATATTTTAACTGCCTTGCAGCACTTACGTTGTCCTAGGCAAATGCCAGGTTTTGAAGAGGTGTTTGCTACCACTATCTTTCAGCAGTCTGCTGCTTTTTCTTCCTCTATATGAAATCCTAGACTGCCTAAGCGATCAGAGGAAAACAAAAAAGATGTGGCCGTTTTGGGGACTGGAACTGAATCGAGTCCGCTGTGACCTGCTCTTTACAGAAGCCATCAATCAAAGCATGCAGGTACCCAACAGGCTGAAGGTAGCAGATGGCTTCAGCCCTGTCAACGAGGAGCCGACGACAGAGGATGTGCCTCCTTCCTTTCGGATGCACATCCCGGATAGGATTTCTCTTGCAGGTAAAGATTTGGGTTATTTTTGGGGTAGCTGAGGTTTGGTGGGACTCTGTAACACCCTAGGGAGAAGGATCCCATTATAAAGACCTCACCAGTTTGCTGTGCAAGCGGAGAGGAAAAAGGCAGATGTCAGCTTTCTTCCACGAGGTAGGGCAGCATGGTGGGAAAGGTGGGCAAATAGAACCAACAGAAGGCAGGACAGGTCTTGGTCCCAAAGATGAGGACTAGAATGTTTCCCTGGAAAAGGGGTGGTTAAGTGAACAGATATTTTAGTGCGTGCCTGAGAGGATATCTTTGCAGGCGACAAGGCTGAGAATGGAGTGGGGGTTGGGGTGAGCGTTTGGGAAGGAGGAATCTGTCCCTCCACATCTCTTATAGTTCCCTGTTGGCCTTTGGTAGACTCCACACATTGGGATGCAAAGACCCATGGCCCTTCTCTTTGAAAGACAGCCCCCAAACCTTGGTGCTGCTGCTTTCCTGGAGCAATGCATCCAATGGCTTTCCTCCTTGCCTCCCCTGGCTATCCCGCATCTCACATCTGTAAGACCTGGTTTTCTGATGTACTTTCTGGTAACTCTAGACACAGGGTTGGCTCTCCTACACAGGTGGATCTCTCCTCCATCCTGTCCTGAGCGCAAAGGGGCACATTCCAGCTGGTTTAATTCTTTCTTCTGTTTTCTCTGTAGAAATAATGGATACTGGTCCGAGGCCTATCCTGCTAGACCAGCAAAGGAAGGTCCCCTCTACTGTGGGTCACGAATCCTCAGACTCCTCCGTTCAGCCTGCTGCACTTGGGGAACTCCCTTTTCTGCGTGTAGCCAGCAGATCAAGCACCCAGAAACGCAAACGATCGGTACTGTATTGAGAGCAGATGGGGCTGCCCGTGGGAGCATGGGAGGGGAGCAATCCCAAGGTTTGGTTTTCTCCAGACATCTGTTATAAGCCCAAGTCTGAATTCATTTTCTGGAGTGCTACTTCCTACACCCTTACCTGGGAGCTAGGGTGTAGGCGCATTGGGATCTCTTTCTCTCCCCATAACCAGTACACACCTGTGTGCTGGGCTGCTGTATGCTGGGACATGGATTGAGCCAGGTCTCCGACCACTTTTTGTGAGTGGGAAATAGGCTGGAGTAGGTGCAAGCTGTGATTCAGACCTCCACCACCCCCCACCTGGTACTTTTGAAGTCGTGTTTCAACCACTGTTTCTCCTGGGTCAAGTGTAAGACAGCTGTTTCATCATTGCAGCATAAAAGAATCTGGTATCAGGCTTAAAAGCAGATTTTAACCTTGTGTACACTAATTCAGAGAGAGGCCTCTGACATGAGTAGGGCTATTTTGACTGCCTGGAGCTGCTGCTCTGCCTTCTGAAGTGCTTTTACCTACCTAGGATTCAAGAGCCTTTCCTGGCTTTGTTAGTTTTAGGTCTTTCTCCTCAGAATCCACCTTCTCAGCTGAAATTTTAAATTCCCCTTCCTTGGTGCTGCACAGCCCCTAACTACGGGTGAAACTAGAGGGAACCACCTCAACGACTGGCCGAGACCAAGCAGCGTTGCTCGGAGGGGCACTGCTGAGGGTGACGGGTCAGGGCTGTCCCAGAGGCGTGGGGTGTCAGGGCTGTCCTGGAGACATGGGGCATGGCTGCGCCCCAGAACGCAACTCCAGGACACAAGCTGGCAGGCAAACGTGGAGCACTGGCCTCACACCTGCTGCAAGGACAGGGATGCCTCATCAGCTGGAGGCAGGAGACTGGGAAACAACCCGCTTTTAAGCTTATTCCCAGGTTTGTGTTAGTTTAATGTTGCCAAGTGAAACGTGAGGAAATAAGCAGTGAAGTAAGGTGAAAAAAGAAAAAACCAAAAAAAAAAAGAAATTTTTCATCTGAATAGAGTCCCATATCAGGCAGCCTCCTCATTGCTAACCCTCCTCCTGCTCCGAGCATGTCTTCCCACCTTCTCTGGCATTGGCACTCCAGGTTCGGGGCTCATATAATGCCACTGCCACTGAATGCTTTCCTCATGCTAACTGTGCTGCTTGTACTGCAGACAGCGCGTGCCGGCCTAAGCTGCCTTGTGCAGTTTCCGCACTAATACGGTTGTGTTTGATGCCAACAGGGCCATCACAGCAGCAGGTCACGGCGGGAGAGGGCTCCAGGTGACTATGCCCAGCTGGCTTTGCACAGCCCAGGCCAGCACCACGAGCGGTGAGCACTAACCCAGAACTGTTTGGGGTGGGTAGGGATCAGCACCTCTTGCTGTCTGCATTTCTTTGATGCTCTCTGGCATTGGTGCCCCAAGGTGGGGTGAGGATCCAGATCAATGCGAGGCAGTGACAGGCAAATCCTACTCTTGCACAAAGCTAGTTAAGGGGAAAGTAGAGAAATTCTCTCCAGTGGGGAGACTGTCTCTAAATTAATCCCAAAACAGAACCATCTTTCCCCCTGTAAGTCAAGGGTTGCATCAGGGTGGCAGGAGAGCTATCCTCTGCGATCCCTATGAGATGATGGTCTGGTGACCATCCATTGCCGCAACTGGCTTGGCATGAGTCAAACTAGTGCCTCAGAACCTGTTGGCTGCTGGAGGGGGTTTCTCCCGCCCAGTGAGGTGGAGGTCTGTGCTGATGGCCTCCTTAGCGGTGTTCCTGGCAAGGCTCAGAGCTGTTCTAAGGATGAAGGGCACCACCAAATATTAAACTGTGCTTGTGCTGTACCAGGCTGGGAAATGACAGGCGTGATTCTGTGTGCACCTCAGGCTGGACACGTGCCCCTTGCCCACTCGCAGCGCCCCACTCCCCCTCCTCACGCAGACGGGCAGGATCTACTCTGTGCAGAACATCTTCCAGACCATGTGCCTCCTGGGCCAGGTGCTCTTCCACCGTGTCCGGGACACTCTGCAAGACTCAGTGCCCTCCAGGTGACTTTGGCTTGTCCTGAGCCACGTCCTGTCGCTCTGCAAGGACCTGCCTTTGCTTTACTATGGCATGAACCAGGCATGAGCTTTGTAACTCGCAGGGCTGCAGAGCACAGGAGCAGTGCAGCAGGATGATCCTGTGCAGCCTGTTCCTGTCCCTATGCCCTACTTATCCTGTCCACCAGCTTTGGGTGCCTTGGCTCCGGAGTGTCTAGTGCAGTCAGCCTGCATATTCCCTGTTAACACAGCCGAGCTTTAGTCTCCTGCTTAGCTTAATACCATTGCCTTGGTTACCCTAAGTGATCTAATACCTCCTATGAGATTCCTGGGATTTCAACTGGTCTTCAGAGCGAAGCAAGTGCTACTTCTTCTGCATGCTTTGATAGCTCGATGGAGAGAAATGTGTGAAAGGAATCAAGATCCAGAACAGGCTGCCTGACCTGGAGCCTATCACCAGGACACTGTCTCCTGCAATCTCCCAGCACCCTTGGCTATATCCTCGTCAAATTACCTTTTCCAAGAACTGCTGCACTGCTTTTTGGCTGCGCTGAGTTACTTAACCCATAGCCAATTCCTATGGCCAGGGTCTCCCAGGAGGCAGTATGCCTGCATGCTCCATGGATCAGGTAGGCAGTGACCTCAGCATCTTAGGACATGCTGGAGCCACTCTCAGTGTACCACACTGTTAGCTGTGCTTTTGCAGCAAGTTTAAAATATTCACAGCCTTCTTCACAGCCCTTACATGTCCCCACTGCTCTAAGGCTGCTGAGCACTCAGGAGTCATGGAGTGTCTCAATTCTTCCAATTCTCCTTGAGCAAAATCTCCAGACAGAAAGAGAGGAGAGAGGGATATGACAATGTACATACATCATCTATGCCATCAGTGGCACATTGCATCTTCCCTCACCAGCTGGCGTGAAGGTGCAAGCAGCAAAGTTGAGGCCTGTTTGTGGATGATGCAAAATGATATCCCTGCTTGTAAACCCATGAAGCTGACTATCTTCAGATGTGGCTTTTTAAAGAAGTCTGGGCATGCTAACAGATCTGGTTTGTTAGTGGCCTTCTAAGATCTTCTCCCTCCTCCCCTCAGCAGTGGAGGAGGTTTAGGCTATGGTGTCATGAGAGGTGGTAACTTGGTGAGCTGCTGTAACGTAGCTGGCATCAGTCCCATGCCTCTGCCCCAGGTCTTGGTCTCCCTTTGAAACTGAGAACCTTGGAGTGCCTGTTCTTGATAGTTTGCATCACTTCAAATGCGTAAGTTGTCTTCTTTAACGTGTGACAACTTTGTACCCCCACACAATAATAAAATAAAAGATGACTGACCCAACTTGTTTTTCCTGAAATTTTAATAAAGAAAACTCTGGACTTGGACAGAGACTGGAATATTTCCATTACAGTGACCTCTTGAAGGGTATGAGTCATCAGAAGGTAATTTCTAGCCTCTCCTGTAATGGGTGTTCACTTCTATCAACTGAGATCTTTCAATTAAACGCTGTGGGATGTGTCCATTTTTAATGGCTTTGTGCTGGGGGAAATTGGATATTCGGTCTGTCGTGACTTTCATTTTACACAGCACCTACATTATGTAGAGGTGATAGCTTACGAATGTATTTTTCAGACTTAGACACCTTGAATCTCTGCACACTGTTTTGGCTTGTCTTCAGCAAGATCAATGTCATGTTGCAAATGGGAATAAATGGTCTCCTCCCCGTGGTCTCTAAGGGAGCGGTGTTAGATGCTCATTAACTCACACTCTGTCAGATCTTCAGAGCAAGTGTCCGTGGGAGTTATCGGTGTGCACAGGGGAATTTTGGATTATAAATGAACTGTTGTAAGGCTGTCTATGACGTTGGGAACAGCAGACAGAACGTGGCAATTTTGATTTCCACTGTGGATCTACTGTATTCTGTGGGTACTCCTAAGATGCAGCTCTTTGTGCTGTGGGCCCTGTAGCCAGGTTGCCTCTCTAAGAGGAGCCTGTTCGCTAACCCCAGGGGTGGCTGCTTTGTCTCCAGGGATGAAGAAACTGGTGCATACTTGTGTTGCTTGTTTATGTTTAAAGTTGCAAGTAAAATTTGCTATAAGGGCAAAACGTGATAACATTTTGTGAGGGCAAAGTGAGCTTCTGGGATCTGGAGGTACTGAAGGGAAACAAATCCTTGTCTAAGTAAATACAGGACCCTTTTTCTGCTGACTGATGCACTTGCTCAGATAGTTTCCCCCATTGATGCCTGCCTCCCACCAGCTAGATCCTCACCTGCCGATGTAAATGAGAATCATCCCTCCGTTGCGGCATTGGCCCTATGATCTGTATTTGCCTGAGTTGCTCTAATGATGCTTTATCCAATCCCCAGTGAATTCCCCTGGCTATAGAAAACGGATGCTTGATAAATACTGTGTTTTCTCTCTGTTGGACCCCTGAAGAAATAAAAACATGTGCTTTTTTATTTTATTGTTTGCTGCAGCATGTGTGTTTTGCTGTGATCACTGTGGGGTGCATGGTGGAGGGGTCTAAATATGCATGATGGGGATTAAAAAGAAATCATTCCATGCTGTACAGGTGCTGTTTCCTGTTCCTGATGCTGCACCTGGGTGGTATGGCCTTGCCACACACATGCTGCCTGCACAATTGGGCTGGCTGAGCCCCTGTGCTTTCCTCAGCAGGGCCATGTGTGCAGGAAGGTAATTGTACCTCTTGAGCAATGTTTGCCCATTTGCCTCTCTGTTTTTCTCCCCAGTTCCCAGGAGACAGGCCCAGCTTTGGAAAGCTCCCTGGAAGAGGTTGGCATGGCTGAGATGGCAGCAATGAGAAAACAGGTGAGAGAGGAGGGCGAAGGACTGCAGATGTCTCCTGGGAAAGCTGCAGGAGGCTAGATGGGGATGCTCCAGGGGTCTGTTGCTCCATCCTGGCTTGCTGGCTTTGCCAGGCTAGACCCAGATAATGCTTCTAATGGAGAAGCAGGAAAAGACCTAGATGTTTGTTGACCCTTCAGGCTCCTACACTGAGGGGCTGTGGGGCTACAGGAGGCAGCCAGACTCTCCATCTGCTTGCAGTAAAGGGTCCAGATGGGAAGGGTCTTTTCCTGAAGCATCTGTTCTTGAGGACCTGAAGCAGGTGGCAGCTCCCATCCCTTCATCCATTGCTATCCTGCATCTCTGGGGCGTTGCTAGTGTCCTGCACTTTGCCCCAGGACTGATAATGGACCCGCTGCTTTCCTTGCAGTTGACAAGGATCTCGGGGAGGCTCCAGGTGCTGGAGGAGCAGTGCAATGGCTGGCGTCGGAAGGAAGCTCTTGTCTACTCCGTGCTGATCTCTGCCTGCCTCATCAACACGTGGCTCTGGCTGAGGAGATGAAGATTTGCTGTGCCCTGATTTTCCCTCCCCATCCTGGCAGGGCAGGTGAGAGCAGGGAAAGAATCCTTGCTCGAATATTTACGAACAGTAAAATTATGTGTTTCTTCCCCTTGATCTGCTTTTCACACTGTAGGCCCTTGAGGATCTGTGTCCCTTAGGCACTGATTACAATGAAGATGGCATCCTTCTCTCATACTCTAGCATCAGAGGCAGGTGAGATGAAAAGGATGAAGCTGGACCTTGTGCCAGAGCACCTGGAAATGGGTGTTAGGGAGAGATGGGGAATGACACTGAATATGGCCCAACAGGCATAGTCCCAGGGCTGAGCTGTGACTGTAAATGCTCCGTGAACACCAGCAGCCATGTTGCCTGTTTGATGGGGTCAATGCTTGCCTGGGAAGATGCTGCGAAGGTCTCACAAGAAGTAGGTGGTGATGCAGTAAGTGTCTGTAGTGCGTGAAGTAATGAGACATGCTCTACTCCTTGAGCTGTCTGCCAGAGGAGATGCAAAACCAAGGTGCTGAGTGTTTGTTGGCATCAGGTCCTGTTACAGTTTTGGGCAGTGGTGGGCCTGGCTACCTTCCCAGGCTCCCAGCATCCTAGGCTGGACAACTCAGTCCAGACCTCAAAAATTCCTCAGCCAATTACTATAGTCTCTTCCTCATCTTTTGCCCCCAAAGCTTGCACAGAGTGGTTGTGCATTTTTACACTGATAGATTTTCTTTTCTTCCTTGAGCAATTGCTCTTAAGTGGATGCAGTACTGCCAATTCTCCTATGCCTGCTTAGGAGGGATGAATCTGGTGGAGCTGGGAGCTCCCATCCCTACATCCACTGCTGTGCCACCATCTCCTTGGCTCTCATCCTGTTGGATGTAGTTCAGCAAAGGGTTTGCAAATGTTGAGATCCAGAGTGACTGTAAGAGCGAGGCCTGGGCTTATCCAGGAGCTTGGCTGTTTCTCTGTGAGATTTAAATGAAAAACCTCCCCATGGTGAGTCTCTGGATAATAAGACCTCATAACAACATTAATAGCACCAGACAGTTCACGGAAAATTGTCCGCTTGGGCAGCAGTATAAATTTGTTAGGTTGGCAGTGCCGGAGGGCAAGATCACTCCTAGAGCAGCTGCCAAACTGTAACTTTAGCAATGGTGCATAATACAGGTGAGGGGAATTCTTGGCCCAGATGCTCTTTAGTTGATGACTAGCCCAGTTCAACAGCTTTGCTATTTCTTTGCTTCCTTGGAACTTAGCCCACTTGCATCTGCAGTGGGCTTTGCCACCTGGGTCCCACATGCCTGGCTGGACCAGCTCAGCAGAGGTCTCTCCTCCCCGCCCCTGCCACGACCTCCCCATCAGCGTGGTTTTGGGTGGATGTGAACTGGGATTGTTGATACCACCCTAAAGCCGCAGGCTGTTCAGAGAGCTGCATGAAGACAAGGTCAATGCTTACCCTTAGGATGTAAGGGGAAAAGGTAGGAGTGGAGGAAAGGGAACCAACACATAGAAAGCAGTGTCTGGAGGTCGAGGGATGCTTTGTGCCCATAGTGAGTGATGACACTTGAAATTCAAGGCTGTAGTGAGGTGACTTTGAGATGCTTTTGGTGGTTTATCCAGAACATCTGCTGGAGTTGTGCCTGCAGGCTTGGAATCGGGTCTTGGCAATGCTTTAACAGGACCTCTTTGTTCCACCTATAAATAGTTGTAGCTGGAACTGCAAGACATCCAGATGTCCCAGCTGCTTAGTTACAGACATGGATACTTAGGTGTTTTGTGCCTGCAGCTGCATCAACTATCTGTGCCTGTAAATCTGGCAGCCAGACATTTACTAATAAATAACTGTCCCACAAGTAATTGCAGGTCTGAACCTGTGGCTCTGTGGCCAATATCTGAGCTGAGGAGAGAGGTGAGATTTATTGTGGATGAGAGCCAAGATGTCCTGATGGCTGGGCTGGCTTAGAGTGCAGCAGCAGGGGGCACATAAGGGACTGTGTGAGCACTGCTGCACAGATGGTTCATGTGATTCGTGGCTAAGGGATGCGGTCAGGGTTACCAGGCGACCTTACACAAATGCATATACAAATTCTGCCTGCGGCTCTTCTAGGGTGACTGGAGTGTGGCTTGCTGGGCTGACACTCCAGCTCTCCTCACTGGCTTTTCTGGAGGGGCAGGAGAAGGAAATAGAGAAGGAGAGGTGGCAACATGGACTGTTTTGTACACATCTTTTGAAAAGGGAGCTGCCACAGCCTCTGTGAGAGTCATGCCAGGAAAATGCATTGTTTGGAAAGTACTTGTTCAGCTGGTTTCTTTTCTCTGTGAGCTGTAAATGTGCTCTGAAGAAGCTTTTTTTTTTTCTTTTTTTTTCCCCAAGCTGTAGTTTAAGGTGAGAAGGGCTGACCCTTTGGGGACACAACACCTTGAAAGTGTGCATTGGAGACATTTGGATCTAACCCCGTATGTGTTCTTGAAGGCTAATTATTGACAAGTTGTAGAGGATACAATATGGCTTTTTCATAAGGCATGCTTCCTGGTGTAAATCTGGAAACACTGATCCATAAAAATATGTGTGTGAATAAACTGAGTGTGTCTGGATATGTCTCTTCCACCAACCGAGGAGTCAGATCCTGGTTTCCCCATGACTGGGAAAGGGTAAGATTTGTTCCTTTGTCAGCAGGACCCTGAGCTGGTGCCGTGCGTGTATATTTAATCAGATGTTGGCTCCTGATCTCTCTAGAGTGCCAAGCCACTTGGCCTGCTGGTGTAAAACAGGAATGTCGGTTGCCAGGAGAATCTGGAGGAGAGTTTCTGGTTAACGGTGCTACTTCTGCCTGGCTGAGGGCAGCCGCCTGCTATGAGGGCTTGAAACCTCTCTGTCAGGCCAGCTGCCAGGCTGCCCAGATGCTGCACGAGTCCTGCACAGGCGAGCCCCCCAGTATCTCTCGCTGCCCTCTTTCCACCTGGATGCACGCGTCCGGAGCGGCTGTCTCACGGCAGGAGGAAGGGCCTGTTCCCCCGGCTCCTGGGAAAGCTGGCCCTTGAGAATAATGTTCCCTAGCTTTATCTGTAAAGAAGGCACAGAAAAAGCCCAAATCTAACAGCGTGCATGTGCTTTAGAGGGAAGGAAACTGAGGCACAGAAGTGGCTGAAAAGAGCGTGGGTGAGCTGGGCTGCAGGAGTCCACCCGGACTAAAACATAGCCGCACCTGGAAATCGAGCTGGGAGCAGCGAGGACCAAACAGTCAGTGACAAATATTTTGGGGGTGGAAGAAGGGCAAGCCAGGGAGATCTCAAGCTTCCTCGTTTATGAATAACATAAACGAGTTCCTGGAGCTGCTGCTTCGGATGTGCCACCCTCTCGCATGGCTCCTTCGCATGCCACAGTGCTGGAGGCAGAGGGGGTGATGCTGGCGGGAGCCAGGAGATGGGCTGCATGCAGCAGTGAGGAGCGAGCGCCTGGGAAGACAGCTGTGTCCTGCGTGTATGCACGGGCTGTGCGCGTGCAAGAGGATTAAGAAGGAGAGCAAGACCTGTAATCACAGGAGCACCTCTCCGTGGCCTCTCCTGCTGCAGTGTCCCTGCCCTCACTTTCTGGGGGTGCGATGTTTTTATTTATTCCCTTTCTCTCTTCCCATCCTCCTCCTCCTGGCTGTCCTTTGTACCAGGGCAGGCCTGTGTGGCAGCGCGGGGTGTCCCCTAGGGCCACTGCTGCAGCAAAGCGCTTCAAGTGTGTTGTGCAGCACAGCACTCGAAGGAGCTGCTCTACCGTGTGAAGACACATAGGAGCCTGAAGAGCTTGATGAGAGAGGGCAAAAGTTCCCGATTTCCTTCTGAGCACTGAACCTTGGGGCTTCCTGCTTTCCAGGTTTTCAGTGAGATCAGAAGAGGTGGAAATTAAGGCTTGAAAGGAAAGCAATAAAACTGCTAATAGCCAAGGGACTCTGGATGGTGGCGCTTTCAGCCCAGCCCTGCACACTGTGCATGACGCCGCATGCGTGGCAGGGACTGGTTTAACCTTAGCTACAGCCAGCGGCTGGATGCTGTGGGAAAGAAGGGGAGAAAGGGGGAAACTTCTGCCCTCTTTCCTGTGTGCTTTGGGGATACAAATTTTCTGTCAACTGCTAATTAGAACAGCTTTACAAACAAACTAAGAGGGCAGGAATCGGTGAAAGATGTTTTTCATGACCGTTTTCAAGCTCAGCAGCTCTCTTCTCTGGGAGTCCGGAGCAGTACGTTTGCCCTCCTGCTCTGTGAGAAGAGGTACCTGGATGGAGGATGTTAAAACCTGGATGCACACGCAAATCCGCAAGCACAGCAGTAGCGGTGGCGCAGCCTGTGAAGCAGGGAAGGGCGGTTCCCAGCTGGGGGTCACCCCTACCGCAGGCGCGGGAACGACCGTCCCCCGGGCTTTGCCGAGGGCTCGCGAGTGCCCGGCCCCAGCGCCCCAAGGGGGGCTGCGCTCTCGGGCCGGGCTTTGCTGCGGGAGACACCAGCGGTGCCAGCGAGGGGAAGGGAGAGGCGGGAGGCTGCGCGCCGGCGGGGTGTGCAGCAGGGAGATGGGGGGGCCTAGCCCTGCGCGCAGCCTTTCCCTCCTCCCCTCTCGTCTCTGGGCGCAGAGCCGGGGGG